AATGGTAACTCAATTTGCAATTATACTGTGTGGCACATTGGGGTTGGGGGAAGAGAATAGCAATGTCCCCCAAGTACTTACGGATAATTTATTTGAATTTAATTTGTTGTCTTCACAACTGAGTTCTAAATACCAAGTAGGATATATCAAGCATATGTTTGAATAAAGTGTAAATAAAATTGTCTCAAACAAAGGAAAAGCTCTTCATTGTCAAATGAAGTGGCAGAGATCTCTATTATATTAAAGTGTATGGAAATGGAATCTTCATACAATCATGTCAAATATACATTCCAGAAAGAGGTTGGACTTCAGAAATAAGAAATATAGGAAAACAGGGCTGGGGATATAGCTAAGTGGTTAGAGTGCTTGCTTTGTATGCACAAAGCCCTGGGTTCAATCCCCAGCACCACCAAAAAGAAAAAATAATCAGGAAAATAATCTAAAATACTCCTCCTCCTTTGCGTGAATCCACCTGCTAGACATAGCCACAAGTGAAGAAATGAAAGTTAGGCAGTCCTTTCTTGTGCACAGTTCAAACACATGGTGTAAAAAGATCAGACTTATTAGGTACTGTTATGTTTGGGAATGCCTTTAAGAATGAAAAATTAAGATATAATCAACACTCAACACCAATGCACCAAAGAACATAATCCAGATGAGCTAATCTGCAAAACTGGAATAAAAATGAGCTAATGCTGTTTAGGGGATTGTATGTAAAATATGGCAAGACATCAATAACAATTGAAAGGAGGAAGAGGAAAATGCTGCTCAGCTGCTAACAATAAAGAAGCAGCAAATTTGCAAAATGCATTAACTGTTTCAGTAACTGGTAGCACAGTGTAGTTAACCTCTAAGACTTCACACAGCCATCAGGAGTACTGACCAGATATATCATACATCTTTGTTTCTGGGCCATGTTTAGTAGGATTTCTCCTCCCTTATTTTTTACTTTCCTTGGCGATAGGGGCATGGAGGAAGAGGAGCAGGGGACAGACAATGTGCTTGCCTTTCTCTTATTCTCCCTGCAGCTGGCTCAGGAATGCCATCTCCAACTTGACAAAGAGGCATGTGCAATGCTATTCAAGCTGGTAGTTGAACTGACAACACATTTTCTATATCACTCAAAACATTAAAGAAGAAAAACGCTGTCGTGAATGTAAAAAAACAAAATCAATTAAAAAAAATATTTAAAACAAAAATGTTCAATAACCTAGCATTCATTTGTAAAAGCATTAAGTTGGCTTTACCAGCTGAGAAATTGAATTTGTGAGCTGTGAAATGTCAGAGCTGACCCCTGGGGGTTTTTGAGGTGGGATGATGTGGTGAAGGGCAGGTTTTAGGTCATGTTTTATACAAGAAGTTTAATTGTCCTGGCTAGGAAGTAAAAGTGACTCATTGAACTGAAGTGGTCTCTATCTCCCAATACAGATTTCAAATGGGGGAGGATAGCAGCAGAGCAATAATATCTTTAAAAGAATTGGGCTAGTTCACTTCAGTCATTTAACTACTTCCATCCAGATTCATTTGTTTTGGACACAAAAATTGACATCAAGCCAATGATAGCAAAAAACAGCAGTGTCTTTGCTGCCCCTTTTGAACCCACACAAACCTTTTCGCTGTGTTTAAGCCAGGGTTTTTTTTTTTTCTTTTTCTTCTTCTTCTTCTTCTTTTTTTTTTTTTTTTTTTTTTTTGGCCAAGGAAAATTACATGTTCTTCAGCCTTTTCCAAGATTTTATTGAAGTACATTAAATAGTTTATGACTGTAAAGAATTGTAAAGTCATCATGACACCAAGTTCGTGGGATGGTATTTTCCAGTTGTGTTTTGATTATTCTCTCAGAAATTTTCGTCCCACTCAGAGATGAGTATTTTCAGTTTGACTTCAGGAAATTATTCATGGTGATTTCTTATCTATAAGGCTTAGATGCTGGGTTTAACTCACTTTGAAGGCCTTTGAATTTGCTTGGGTTCTCTAACCACAGCATTTTCTACTCACCTGCCAATCTCCTTAGCCACTCTCCTTTGGCCACTGATAATACTAAACTTCAAGCCCATGTTTAAGTTATCTCCTTATTGTTCAATCAACCTTGGTTCTCTGAAGAAAATTTTACTCCAATGAACATGTTGACATTTGTTTAGAGTAACCACTATCTCTTCAATCTCCTTCCTCAATGGAGTAATCAGAGTGTTCAAATGCAAACTGAAGCAGGTATTCTCAAGGAAGAAGATATCAGAGATAACGGCCCTGGACAATTAAAGTACCTACCAAAGGGAAAACAGGAGCTAACTAGGGGGGTTGGAGAAGTGTTACACCCAGAGTGGGGATATACCAAATCTGTGCTGGGAGATTGATAATGTATAAGTTAAGAGAATCCTCATAAAAGATAATACCAAAAAGCTATACCAAAGGGAGGTTATAAAGGATCTCAAATTGCTAGGCCAAGAAGATTGGATTTGATTCTACCATAATGATAAAATTAATTAAAATATGACAGATTCTTTTTTTTTTAATAGTCTAAAAATTTAGGGCACCATTTTGATTGTCCAGCTCCAAGGCAGAGTGATAGGAGTAGAAAGAGGTCAAATTTGCTAAAACAAATCCTGGAGGTAGAAGTAACAGAATTTGGTCATGAATTAAAATAAGGAATAATGAAGTAGCTGAAAGAATCAAATATCTGTCAATCTTTTATAGCAGTAAAGTAAAAAATAATGGGTTCTTTTTGGGTTGAGATGAACTCAGGGCATCTGTAGATCACTCATGTGGACCCTGATGAAGGCAGATGAAACATGAACCCAGAGACTCTGGAAAGGACAAGGGGAGGGGGGCAGAGTCCAAAATCAGCATTGTGAATCTGATTGTGGAAGTCTAAGAGAATGTGAGCTCCAGACCAGGAATAGGTGATGTAGATAGACACTTCTAGTCAAGCAACACCAATGGAAAAGATGCAGCTACTTCTGATTTCCCCTGAAATACCACCACAATGATAATAAATGGATTAAAAAGAAACCCTCCAAGGCAAACTAAAACAGTTGAGAAGAGCAAATGTGATATATCAATGACATACAAAAAGCTAGAAATCAGAGGAACATAAGAGGTACCTGATGTGACATTCTAGGGAAAAAACAAACAAACAAACAAAGGTAACAGTATGTTTTAAAAAGCCAAAACTAGAGCCAAATTTCATAATGTTATGAAAAATTCAAGAATTGTAGGTGGCTGGGCCCATTGAAGGTGGAAGATGTCAATCAGTCCAAATACAGAGGGACTGTTTTAGATTCTGAAAAATAAAAAACCTATTAAATCTTTATGTCTTTTCCTCACGTCCATATAGGCCAGAGACTTACTTACCTCCTGCCCAAGGAGGTGGTAGGCTACATGTTGACTCTCCAGAATGGTCAAAGCTAGGAAACTCCAGACTCCAGGGATCCAGGAAGTGCTAGAACAGGAGTCATTCCCAAAACAAGAAGCCATGTGAAAACCCACTAATAAATGGGCAGAAGCCAAGCTGCTGTCCCTACTCAGGTTTCAGAATACTGCTGGCAATGCCTACCGTACATACCCAGCTAGATGTTAGATGATTCCTTTGGGGTAAAGTATTGCCCAAGAGATGAGACCCATGATTGGCAACACTCTGCTTTCTGAATTAATTATGTCACCATCAACAACAGCACTTTGCTGTTTACTTGTATAGTGAAGCCACCCCTGGACAAAAGCCCTTTGCTAGTCTCCTTTTTTGAAGCGTTGAAATATATCACATAAAAATACAAATCATTAGCATTCAGTTCAGTAAACAATGACAAAGGAAATCTTACAATCACCACATCCTCACCATTAATTCATATGCCAATAGTCTTTTTAGTGCCTCACCTTTAGATACAAATGGCCAAAGATCATTATACATGTAAAGAAAGAATTTAACACAAAAAAACTACGATTGTGTATATGTGTGTGTATGTTACTTTATATATATATATATATATATATATATATATGTGTGTGTGTGTGTGTGTGTGTGTGTGTGTTTGTGTGTGTGTATACAAACATAATTTTCTATTAACCATGAAACCAGAACAGAATGGAACAAATAAGAACATTAAGAAAATCAAAAAGATTGACCTTGGTAATGTAATAGAAGAAATAAAAGTTATCATAGAAGAATTAGAAATCAGATTAGTAGACCTGTAAGAAAGTAGAGCAAACAGCAGCTCAAAAGTGAGAAATACAAATTGGAAAATGAGAAGATAAATCATCTCCAAAACCAGTATATCACCAATAAAAAATTAAGAAATGAAGATTCAAAAGAAACAATGACAAGGAAAAAAAAATCAAGAAAATTTCCTAAAATCCAAGAACATGAAGTTCTAAATATAAAGAGATTATCACAAGTTCAAGAGACAAAGGAAAACAGATTCAGACTAAGGCACACTATTGCAGAATTTACAAACACTATGCACAAAGACACATTTGAAAGCATCCAGAGAAGAAAAACAAAAGAGTTCTCATAAAGGATTTGAGAACTGAAATAGAATCCGTCTCCTCAAAAGCAACAACAGAAACTAGAAAAAAAAATGGAGAAACAAATTCCAAACCCAAGGGGCAATATTTTCCAACTGGCAGTTCTTGATTATGCTAAACTCTCAGGTCACAGAGTATGTTAGAAACAAGTTTTCAACATGATGGTTAAGGGATTTCTCTCTCCCATACCCCTTTCCCTGCAATTGTTGGAGGAGATGATTCAACAATAGAAATAGTAGCCACTTCTCACACAATTCTTTTTGCCATGAACTTTTCTAAATGCTTTACATAGTTCATTTATTCACTACAGCCTATTTTGATACAAATATTACTATCCCATATTATAGATTAGAGAATTTGAGACACAAGAAACTAAGCAATACGGCCAAAGTACAAAACCTGTTAAGGAAGTCGGCCCAGGAACTCTGTCTCCAGAGTTTATGCTCTGCAACAAAATGAAGGAGAAGATTCCAGGAGATACTCACAGGAGAATCAGGGAACTGGAATTCAGCACAACTGAGAGACAAGGAGGATTCCTGTTGATGGAGATGAGAGAATAACAGTTGTGTAGCAGTACATGATCCACAAAGACCCAGATGGCTAATCAGAGTCAAAGGAAGCATTATAGTGATTGTCAAAGAGCACAAAAAGGGAGACACATTCACATGTGGGGGCCCTAAAGCCATGAGCCACAGCTGTCCCGGTCCCCTTCCCCTTCTGGCTTTGCTATGACTACATCTGGGTTCAGAAGCTAACATGGGGAAGCTGTTACATTTTGAGTCTCTCAATCTACACACCTTGTTTGTCACATAGTCATAATTTGACTATATGACTAATTCCCATTGCTCAATGCAGCTGTAGCCCATCAATCTACAAGCTGCAGGTTTATTTATAATGAAAATTCTAGGTACCTCCTTTTGAAAGCATTCCTAGGTGGTGAATCAATGCATAGGGATTGCTGCAGAACCCCTATAGATCTTTTAGCTATATTTATATTTCAGGCATGATTCAAGGTGTATATTTCAAAGGTCAAGCTTGCCTCAGGTGTCCCCAAGGAGGGGAGGTGAAAGTAATAGATTTGCTGTTAACACTTTCCTTCCCAGTGAACCTCAAGGACAACCCAGTGCAAACTGGAAGAGGACTAAGGAAAATAATGCAACCAAATAGTTACTTGATTTGTTGGAACATATTGTAAGAAGATTTAAGTTTCTGGTGGGGAATTTGGTATTCAATTAGAACATACCGTTCTATGTTGTAGTAGTAAAATATGTGATAAAATTTGTGAGGTAACCATGTTTGGAAGATGAAAGGTGAAGAAATATGTGTATAAAAGGAGTAGAGAAATCTAATGTATCATTTTTCATAGTAGAGACCCAATAGGTTACAACAGGAAAAAAAAGAAAAAAAAATAACAACAAAATCCCAGATTAATGGTCATGCACAGAAACAGGCTTGTTATTTAAAAATATAGAGATAAATACCATAGGAACCATCTAAAAGAGTTGAAAGTGATTTCCTCCAATAAGCAGTATCCAGGATATTTGAGAGACACAAAAAACTGTTCTTTTCCATTATGAGACTTACAAGACCATTTTTCTTAACATATGTCTAAACATGACTTTGATAATTTGGGGTGGGGTACTGGGGATTGAATCCAGAGTCTTGTATTGTTGGCTACAGCCCCGACCCCTAAATTTTTTTTGTTTTTATTTGTGAATAACTGTTGTCATAAACATTTTATAAAATACATACAACAGAACTAAGAAATGATAGAATTGAAGTAAGAATACTGCTAGTATGAAGGAGAATTTAGGACTAAAGAATAATGCAACCCAAATTATAAGAGGCTGAGAAATGAATAGGAGATATGGAAATGAAAAGCCAGTCATATAGATAATTGTTAATTTTTTTATGAGAAAGAGATTTTAAAAGAGGAAAGAGCTTCTAATTTGCAAACTATGAAAAAGATAATCTTTAATGATATAGAAGACTAACATATGTTATTCCTGGAATAAAAAAAGAGCAAAAATGTTAAAAATTCACAAAAAGGGTATTATTTTTTTAATCAAGATAACAAAGTAGTGGTTTCACAGCATCCAGATACAGTCACAATTCATTCACTCAGGCTTATGGTGCTGTTGCTAGGTTCAAAGTTGAAGGGCAGGATGGGTGTAAAATACAGATGAGAATAAAGTGCCCTCTCTGACCTCCAAGTGCTCATGATGTGAATAATCACTTACAACCCAATGGAGGCAGAGGAAGTCTAAAATGCATCTTTGCACTCAGGAAGCAGCCAATGATTTTCTCTTTGATACACAGGGGCATGGGATCACAAGGAATTGGGAACGCTGCATTGGATCAGGCCACTGTCTGCCTGGTATTTGTTTTAATGCTAGAAATGAGTTATTGGAGAATGTAAAAGTTGCTCTCCATGCAGTCATCATCAAAGGTTAGGAATGTGCCCAGAATAGTCTATGCTTCCCTTCTCAGGCCACTCTTTTCACTTCTGCCCAGTGTTTCTTTTCTCCACCCTAAACTATTCCTGGCATCAAGGAAAATCAGTGCTGGTGGATTTGCAGCCAGAATCATCATTTTCCTTGCAGAAAATGAAAAGTGGTGTAGGCAGCCTTTTCAGAGAATTACTATAGTGTAGAAAGGATACCTATTCTAGAATGTGAAGCAAATACTCAGTTTTGGAGTATATATTCTTGGTTTTTATAATACTTATGTCATGACTTCAGTTGTCATCTCTCTGCTGGTGTCCCTTAGTTCCCAATGTGCCCTGGAATCTTGCAAACTCCACCTAGATCTATAACAATGCATTCACTATCTCTGAGGTAGTGGTCCTCACAGCTTGTTTCTGTTTTTTGTTGTTCACTTTATTGATGAATCAATCCCCTCTTAGTAAACACATGAGCCCATCTTGCAGGATGACTACTTGATACAAAAAAATGATTCAGGGAGCCCCTGAGTTCTGCCATGTGAAAGAATTATAGACCCAGATTTGAACATTATAGATGTAGGTAAGGGAAGAAGAAGGAGCAGAAGGAGGAGGAAAAAGAAGAGGAGGCATCTAGGCAAATAGAGCATTATTTAAGAATGTAGGCCTGTGCAGTGGCACACAAGTATAATCCCAGTGGCTCAGGAGGCTGAGGCGGGAGGATTGGGAGTTCAAAGCCAGCAAAAGCGAGGTGATAAGCAATTCAGAGAGACCCTGTCTCTAAATAAAATACAAAATGTGGCTCAGTGATTGACTGCCCCTGAGTTCAATCCTATGTACCACCCCCCCAAAAAAAAAAGAAAAGAAAAGGAAAAAGAATGTAGAAGTTACCAGAGAGGTATCATAATAAATGGTCTAAGCTGGGGTTCAGCAAACTTTTTCTGTAAAGGCTCAGAAAGCAACTATTCTCATCTTTGCACACCATAAATCAGTGCAGCATCTCAACTTTGCCCTGTAGCAGGAAATCAACCATATATAAACAAATAGGTGTGGCTGTATTCCAATGAAACTTTATTTATTTTGCATATTTTATTTGCATATAATTTTGTCATAAAATATTATTTTCTTTTGATTTTTATCAAATCAACATGTTATGTAAAACTCATTCTTAGCTCATAGGCTGCAAAAAAAAGTACTCAGTAATCTGGGTTCAGACTCTGGGCCACAGTTTGCCAACTCCTAGCTAAACAGAGGCAAGCCTAGAGAAGTAACAAAATGAAATCAAGAAGAAGTAAGCAAAAAGACACAGGAGAGAGAAGGCAAGGGCTAGTCAGATGGAACTGAGCCCATGAGTGATGAGCACATGTATTTCCTTCATGGGGACCTTGACTGAGGAGTGCTAAATAATAGAAAACATGGCTTCAAATGAGTAGTTTAATGGGCACATTATATTATACTTTCAGTAAATTTTAAAAAATATAAAAATTGCCAAAGTGTTGTCATATATCTATTTTCTGGCAAATATTTAGTGATTATAATGAAAGGCTATATTTTACTTGAACAACTACTAATGGCTTGTGAAAAGTCTGTTTTCTGTTTATGCTTTGGGCCTAGGGTGGAGTTTTAAATATTCTACAAAATGTTATTTTTCCTCTGTGTCTCAGAAAAACCATAATTTATTTATTTTTAAAAGAGGAGAACTTAAAATTCCTAGTTTCAAAATTTGAAAGACATTTACACTGTCAGTCCAAAGATCCATTGCTGAGCTGCCAGGTAAAAGTAGATAAAAGTAATACAACTATCTAAAATCAAGTTTTCAAAAATATGTAAATTAATAAAACTCTTGAAAAATAGTTAAAATAAATGCATAGCTTATTTAAAAAATGCAAGAATTTCTTCTATAAAGTCATAACAAGTTTTAAAATATGCAATGGTGGAAACATATGATTAATAAAGTTCTCTAAACATTTTAATGCTTTCTGTTTAACATTTTTTCCTATGTTCAAATATCTAGAGAGATCTGTGGCAGGAAGGAAAAGATGCTTTAAGGAGAAAGAGCTCTAGAAAAAAAAGGGTACTACTTTCTGCCCCAGAAAAAAAGGTGTCACTTTCTCTTGTTGCAGAGCACTAACACGTTTGAGCCAGGTAACTGGTTTTACCATCTATTATCTTAGCTCCCTTAGTGATGTAGTCTCTTTAAATCTAAAGCCTTTGTTGAATGATAGGATTTAGATGAAATCATCAATTGCTCACCCTCTCTCATTTTATATGCCAATACTTTGTGGGGGATGGTGAAATTAAAACAATGATCTGTATATTTGTGTATCTCCAAAGTTCATATTGCTATTTCCCCTCCTGCTAATATATAAGTTGCAGTTAGAACATAAAAGTGTGAAGAGGTAGGGTTTTTAGCAATTATTAAGTCACAAGGGCATTACACTTATGAATGGGATTAGTGGTCTAATGAAAGAAATTGACGTGTACTACCTTTGTCTTACACCATGCAAAGACGAGGACACAACAAGAGGTATCATTTTGGAAGAGAAGAGTGTTGCCTAATCAGACACTGAATCTGCTGGTGCCTTGCTGTTAGACCTCCTGGCCTCCAGAACTACAAGAAATAGATTTCTGTAATTAATAAATTATTCAGGATAGGATGATTTTTGTTATAGCAGCCAAATGGGACTGATACAACCATGTACAAATACTTCTTTAAACACAAGTGAGACGTGGAGACAAGAAAACAAGCAACTGTGGCTTTGGCTTTCAATTCACATTGCTCAGCCAAATTCCACAAGATAATTTCTTCTCACTTTGCTTCTCCAGGGCCCTATTCTTGTATTTAGCAAATAAGCTTCACGGACCCTTCATAGCAGAACAAAATAATATGCTTTCAAACACAGGGCCATGAGTGGTAAGAGAGAGAGAGTAGCCAGAGTGTGGGGACAGAGCCCCACAAAACAGCTTGCATATACTTGCAAAGAGGTGGGTGAAACAGATTTAGAGAGAGAATTTCATTCTACCGAAAGTCAGTTTACAATTTGCTGATAACTCCTATAATCTTGTTTTTAAAAGTCAAACTGAATCAATTCCTGGGTTGAGAGTGGAATACTTCCAATATTGTACTGAAACATAGA